GCACAGCTTTAAATCCACCTTATGCTAGCCACCGTGGCGGAGTATGGGAGAGGTTGATCGGAAGCGTACGTCGAGTGTTAAGCCCAGTTTCGAAGGAGCAAGTCCTCACAGATGAATCACTCATGACCTATTTGACAGAAGTAGAAAGGATACTAAATAGTAGGCCGCTAGTACCTGTTTATGATGACTCAAGTCAGTTGGATGTGCTGACACCAAATCATATTCTCTTATCAAGAAATCCTGAACAGGTTCCTGAAATCGACGTTAGTTTATGTGGACGTTATTCACGACGATGGAAACAAGGGCAACTCCTTGCCGATAAGTTTTGGAGACGGTGGAAGCGGGAGTACTTGACGACCTTACGATCGCGTGCAAAGCGGGTTCAACGACATCGAAACTTACAAGTGGGAGACCTAGTACTAGTGACTGCGGAGCCTTCACCTCGCAATCGTTGGTCAATGGGAATAATTACAGGTGTTACGGCAAGCTGTGATGGGTATATCAGAAAAGTGGATATCAAGACACCGAGGAGTATAGTCAACCGAGATGTGCGTAAGGTTTGCCTATTAGCAGGTATTGAGGAGAGATAAGCACTTTGTAGGATATATAGCTGGATGGTGGATGCAGATGTGGCGAGAGTAAATTGTACCATTTCTGTGTCTTACTAGCAGGTAGAGTAGGGAAAACCAGGCTGGTTTTGAGGGGGCGGTGTTAATTCCTTTCCTACCTGTTCATTCTCAATCTTTCCTTTGTTCAACATTATACTACTTGCCATTAGTAAGTAGTATGATTTTTATATGTTAATTTATAACAATGACATTTGCTTACAACTGCAGTTAAATTACTTGTTCTATTATCATTCTATTAATGTATAGTTCTTATTTTTCTTCTCCTTAAACATTATTTGCTGACCTTACCCTATAGTGTATGCTTTACTATTGAAAGTTGTTTGTTCATATTTGTTTATTCTTTGCTTGGCATTCGCGGGCCTTTTGAACCGACACGTGGATCGACCTTGACACAGCATTGCTGTTTTTACTTATTGACTGCACAGTGGTTGTGCATTTGACTGCATTTAGCCACAGACACCTCACATTTTGAGGTTTGTATATTATATATCTATTTTTATGTAATAAAGTACCGTATTGCAGAATATCCTGTATTTCGCACTTTACGCGTCACTCTACGTGTGGTTAAATCTATAATTTGGATTATCGTTTCGGATTTCTTTCGGGAGAAATTCACAGTCTTACTGACTGATTTAGAGAGACACGCGGTTTTTGAGCATATCTGAAGCTTGATCAAGCCTTTGAATTCCAAGTTCATGAATATGGTGTTTCTCTTTGGAACTGTGTCGGTGACCAGTTTCGACTGCTTATCTTTGTCTTCATGTTGCTGTCAATAAATCGGTTAGAGTGGTAACCGTTTTCTGCAAGCGTGGCTTTTAAGAAGTCAAGTTCTGAGTCAACGCAATCAGAACTATAAATTTTCCTTATCCTAAAGCGCAGAGCGAATGAATTAGGTTCCTTTTCCTGGAAATAGGCACCCAGGTATACAAATTAGCTAGTTGTCCGTTCCATGTACTTTTCCGGTGGATATATCTTTTGAGAGATCCGTCAGTACGTCTACTACACAGGCACACATCAAGAAACGGAATACTTAGTTCAGATTCCTTTTCTGTGGTAAATTGTAAAGAAGGATGCCTGTTTTGTGTTGAAAGCAAATAAGGCATCATCGAGAATTACGTTATTATCACATATAACGGAAGTGTCGTCTACGTACGTATCTTCTATAAATGTCAAAATGACCGATGATTTGGCTCAGTTGAGAATTTTTTCAACCTTTGCCATAAAACAATCAGTCAACAGGGGACCCAGTAGTGATCCCATGGCAATGCCATCTGTCTGTGTAAAAATCTCATTATTGAAGGTGAACTGAACATTCAACGTGTCACTTGACATTAAACTATGATTATAATCACAAATATTTTAATTGCATTTATAACTATTATTATTATTTTATGTATTCACACCTTTGATCTGATTCCCTCCCTCACCGGATATAATTTCTTATAAAATAAACCATATACATATACCATTGTAAAGCTTGATAATAAATTCGTTGTTGAAAAGAGTCTCTTCGCTGAATATTGTGTTCTTAATGCTACAATGGGAATTATTAAATAGTATATTGGCGATATTCGACAGCTGATGTGTGATTTCTAGGTACTTGATTGGGAAACTCAGTTTTAGCCTAATTATAAACGGAACATCTAATGGTTAACCTTGTAGCGGTGAATAATTCCCCAAAATTATTGACCACAGCAATCATCACTCAACATTGGATGCTGACCACCACTGTTTAAGTCGACTTGTTTAGCTGAAGGCTTCCGGTCAAGCATCCATGCCATTTGGTACTCCGTCGTGTCACGTGCGTGCACGACCACTAGCTAGCTAAGCATTCACTTCAACCCGCGATTTGGTCCCGAAATATATCTCGTATTTGGACGACTAAATCTGATCTTTTGCTTTGTCTTTGGTACTCGAAGAGCAAACACTACAGAAGTTGTTGGTATAAGATCTTGAGTTAGTATACTCCGTACAGTTCGCGAACCTCGATATCTTTAGCCTCTAAATCCTATTTGCAGAGCAGGTGGTTGTTATTTTTACTTCGCATTCCGACAGCAGCTTAGTAGGTAGAAGGACTAATCTTTTTTTTCCAAGCTTTGTTTGATACTGTTGGAGTTTTTCATAAAATAAAATCTGACTTCAGCAGATGTTTACACTCATTAGCCAGCCATCTAAAAAATAATAATAAGTCATTGTGTTACAGTGTTATTGGACAGTGCCCTTGCTGAGATACTTATGACCTAATCATCATTTGAATATATTTGTGCGTTGAAGTTTTAGTAGCGATTTGGTTAAGTTTCGGGGGTGGAGTTGCTAGCACCACGCCCCAACCCTCCCTCTTTATCCGGGCTTGGGACCGGCTAGAATACTAGTGACCTAGTAATCTAGGCTAGGAACCAATCGCCCAACAAATATGCAGGAGGAAGTGGAGATGGATTGGACACTCGCTGAGGAGGCCGTTGAGTGACATCGCGCGTCAAGCCCTCGAGTGGAACCCGAAAGGGAAGTGGCGAGTGGGACGTCCAAGGGTGACATGGAGGAGATCGTGTGAGGAGGAGATGAAACAGTATGGAATAACATGGACGCAAGTGAAAAGTACAGCACAAGACAGAAGCAAGTGGAGAGGTGCAGTTGAAGCCCTATGTTCCACTATGAACCCAAGGGAACAATACAATACAATAATAATCATCATTTTTGTGGCCTAAATTTGAATCACACTGTCACACATTAATCTTGAAGAAACAAAACAGGTTGAAATTCACTTTTCGAGGTCAAATTTGAAAGATAATTATTATGTACGTCACAAGAGTTTTTCGAGACTGTTATGACATCCTAAGCATTGGCTTACCTCAAGATGCCATGCTGAACATTAGACCCAATAATCTGTAACAAGCTAACAAGTTCCCAAACTGAATCGACAATACCGTTTGAAACAAACTCACTGTTATTATTATTATTATTATTACATCTAATAATTATGTCGTAAATATAGACAAATTCCTCCGATTAATTTTGTTTTAATTTTTAATTTTATTTATATTTTGAGGAGTAAATCAGATGCAATATTGTGACAAATGCTGAGAATTCCATTCTGTATTATAAGTACTGTTTTTGGAATATAGTAAATTATTATTATTATTAAAAATTATAATTGTTTATTATTATTTTTTTTCTGACTGATATATGATCCTTACATCGGAAACTGAAATTACCAATCTGATATTTGGAAGGATTAAGTTTAAGGCCGTTAAACGAAGACCATTTGCTAATTTCTGATAGAAAGTTGTTTATCTTAGTGCAGTCAAGCTGAGAGTTAACAGACGTTGAAATTCATGGATAATCCCCATCCAGGCATTAATGAAAACAAAACACGTAGATCAGCGAAGAGTTTCTTTTCGGCGAATTCATCTTCTTAGCTGTACAATCGCAAATATATATGCATTGTTTTGTATGTATGTGTACATTAAGTTTGTCAAGCAAAGTTACAATTGGTTAAGGTTAATTTTAACTAAACAAGTGAAGGTTGGTAATACAGGTCAAGAAAATTAAGTGTTAGTGAAACTAGGGTAGTAACAAAGGTGATGAGTTGTCACAAACAGTTGTAATAATAATAGTGAGTTTTACTCAGGATGCACATAGAAACAAAGTAGAAATTATGTAAGAGATCTAAGTGGATACAAGAATTACAATTGCTTAAGGTTATTTTAACTAAACAGGTAAAGGTTGGTAATACAAGTCAAGGCAATTATGTGCTAGGATAGTAACAAAGGTGATGAGTTGTCACAAACAGTTGTTAAAAGAATATTTTGATGAGTGAGTTTTACTCAGGATGCACATAGAAACAAAGTAGATAATACGAAACTATGTAAGAGATCTAAGTGAATACAAGAATTATAAGCAACTAATGAACGGGCAAAGAAACAAAATTAAGTTATCAAAATAAAATAAAATAAAAATCAAAAAATCAAAACATTGTTACCATGAGAGTAGAAGTGGTTGAGTAATCTTCTTTTGTATGCACAGCTCCGGTTTTTCCATGTGAATGGCTAGAGCTTCAGCGATACAAAGGAGACGAAACCGTATTGCCTTTGACATGTTGTTCTTGACTCGGTAGATTACTTTGAAGGAGGCGTTCGTTGAAATGGAATGATCAGTGTTAACCAGGTGTTCAATTATCGCACTCCTTATTGCACCACTATTGCCTTTTCGCAGCCATGCTGGATAGTGTTCTTGAATCCTCTTGGACAGGATGCGCCGAAAAGAGACTCTTCGCTGATCTACGTGTTTTGTTTTCAATAAAACAATCAGTCAACAGGGGACCCAGTGGATTCCGTATATATGATTTTTTTTGTGTACTTTTTATCAACACAGTGAAGTAAACGAAGTTACCTATGTGATAACTGATTCAGAGACGAATTCACCAGGGAATAATGACAATGGCAAAGCAATGCCAGCGACAGTATCAGTATCCAATGCTCGGGATGAAACGCTTACACCGAACAAAACGACTTCAGGTATGCGATTACTGTAGTTTTCTTTATTTTATTAAGCTTAACATGTGGAAGTGAGACTGATTGTGCTGATTTATTGCCTTAAGCAACACTTGAGCTATAATAATATCACAGTTTTCAGATTGTGAGAATCAAGCACATTGATCAAGGGTGTTTCCACCTGGGCTGGACTGGGTTGGGCTGGGCTGTCATGTGGATAGATGTGTAGATTGTTAAAATGCTCAACGTAGAAACTTGGGCACTGTGGTGGTCGTGGTCGTGGTAAGTAATTCCCTTATTAGTTTGTTTATTAGATGGATGGATGTATCACACACAGTCAATGAGTGAAGCAGTATTAGTATTTACTGGATAACAAAGTTCATAATCACATCACCAAGTATAAGCACACGATTTCGAAACTTGAGGTTTATAGTTTTCTTTGTCCTCTCCTATTTGTCGTCGTCATTGGGGTAGTAGAATTTTCCAGATATCTGTGTGGGCAGGTGTTGAATCACTCCTATTATACGTATTTGCCACCCGAAAAGTATGGTGAATGTATGTAGATGACACATTCACTGTACTTAGAACACAGGATTTAGATAGATTTTTCCAACACATTAACTCAAAGGTGGAGGCAATTCAATTCAATCTACTCATGAATTCGAAAGTCAGGAAGGCGAACACGAGTGTGTTTACAGGAAACCCACACTTTCAAACAGACATTTGAACTTCCGATCATTCCACCCAATCTATGTCAGTAAAAATAGGATTGGTGAAATGTTTAAGTGACAATAGAGCACAAAAATTAATTGGTACCAAGGAAAATCTAAGACAGGAAGTGAGACATATAAGAGAAGCCTTGAAACTTAATAATTACCCTGATAAATTAGTCAGGAAATATTGAGGGAAATGTAAAAATAAAATAAATAATGATAGTAGTGATAGTGATAATAATGATATTATTGACGACATGCATGTCAAATATGTGCAAGACAACACCAACAATAAGGAATCTCAATCATCAGTAGTAATTCCATGCAACGAAGGAACCTCGGAAACCACCCACCTTACACAGGATTCTTAACAAGGCGGGCAGGAATAAAAGTGACTGGAATTCAAACCAACCACAAACTAAATTAGAAACAAGCTTTTTCAGTTGAAGGATCAATTCTGTGGAGCCTTTAAAACACAAAAATTTAGTTTATCTAATACCCTGCCTGCTGGAATGATTGTCACGTCAAATACATGGGTCAAACTAGTAGAACAGGGTCAGTGAGTCAGATTAGCCAAGCAGCATAAATACCTAGCAGCAAATCTGGATTAGTTGACCCGAATGAGACAAGAAATCTAGAGAATAGTTGAGCAGCTATCGCAAGCACTACATGCAATCACACACACCCAACCATACAATAGGCTGGATGGGATAAGATGACAGTTTTAAAATCTAATGTCACTGGTTGGAGAGTGGGGAAGATTGATAACAACGGAAGCTTTGTTTATCGAATCAACTGAAGAGAATACGTGTAGTAGGAATGATTCAACACCTGTCCAGCCAGATATCTGCAAAATTCTACTACCCCAACGATGACAAACAGGAGACAACAAAGAAGACTATTAAAACTCAAGTTTCGAAGTCGTGTGATTACAATTGGTGATATGATTATGAACAGCAATAATGATGAATTGTGTTCGAAACAACTTTGCCATCCAGTAAATATTAATACTGTTTCGCTGACTGTGTGATACATCTAATAAGCAAACTAATATGGATTGAATACTCTGGGAAAGCAGTCAGCTATTTTGTTATACATACATTCACTAGCACTGAATCACATAATGCAGTTTCAAAAAAAACTTTGATTCCTTTCTTTTTCGAGTAAGAACATTGAGCTTCACTTGCTTACGATGATATTATTTTCACGGGCTGAAGTTGATACCATCACTTCAAACCACCTTCTCTCTTTCTTGGGCCCCTCTACCTATAGTTTAAGCGTGCGCGCTGCCTGTGAATCGAAGCTCCATCAAGTGTGTGTGTGGTTCGCCAACATTCTAAAACCACTGACTCACATAAAATGCATACTGTTGTAGGACAGAGGCAAATTTGAAGCAAGTTCACTGACCAAATCCTTTTTTCTTCAGACCAACTATTACTGTGGTAAGAGCTGTCTGCTAGCCAAAATTTGGTAGACATTAATTTACGCCAATGTTGTTGATGTCCCAAATATTGGTCTTGAGAAAGATAAGAATAAAGCCTTTGCGTAGGCGGATACTGTTAGCATATAGCAGATGATCTGACCTTCAAGAAACAGACACAACGAGATGACAGAATAACTTTCAGCGAGAAACCACCACCAATCACAAGACTGTGTTTGTCTGCTAACAATAATCTATAAATATGTGTTGATTTCCTTAATAAACGATCTGTTGCCTGGTCGTTGTCTTTCGTTGGTACACTACCAGGAAGGGGGTGAAACTAATCCCGGATGCGCATGCATGGTAGCAGGAAGATATGGAACTTGGAAAGTCGTCTAAACAACTTATTAGGTGATATTATAAAGAAGAAAAGACCGAAGTGGCTCGAAGGAAAGACTGATTGTAGGTGCATAAATTTGGTATATACCAAATCTCTCATGTTTGTGTGGAGGTCAACAGCACTACTCAGTATGAAAATGAAAATAAGATCCGGATTTTTAACTTCAATGTGAAGTCAGTCAGTGCTACTCCCTATACGGATCAGAGACTTGGCCAGCGAGTCATAAAGAGCACCTCAAACAAACTACAGACCTTTATTAACAGTTGTCTTCGCTCAATACTCAATAAGATGGCCAGCCAGAAAAGATCAGCAACGGGGAGGGATCTCTGGCAATGAGCGAACCAACACAGCAGGAAGCGATTGTGCAACAAATATATCCAGGAAGAAATGGAGGAGGTGGATTGGCTGGCCATACTCTGAGAAAACAAGCTATCAAGTGACATCACACGACAGGCTCTTGAGTGGAACCTGGACGGGAAGCGATGAATTGGTCTTCAGCGTGACGTTGACGTGGAGCCAGGTTAAAACGTTAGCAGAGAACTGAATACAATGGGGACATGCGGATGGAACCCTATGTTCCTCTAATAATAATAATAATAATAATAATAATAATAATAATAAGATCTCCAATACTTTGTTTGCACATCTTATGCAAATTTGTCGAATATCACCACATTCGATAACTTGTTGGATTGTTCTGCACAGTGTTTTTTTGTTTAACGTTCTTCTCACAGTTCTGTTCTTCGATTGCTTTTCCCAATATGTCGTAAAAAACATATTCTTGCTTTTTTGAACCCGTTTACTGATATACTACTTATATCTGATTATAAGTAGCACTTATATTAGATAATCTCTTCTAATGTGTATAATCATAGATCTTTACGACATTCATCGATCAACGATAGCGATGTTACCGTATTGTGTGTGTGTGTGTGTGATACGGACAAAATGTTCCAACGGAACAGTTTTATTCTCACATATTGCTGCCACGGTTCAATACTGCGTTAGCAACAGAATAATACTATGTATATATGCATTTGAATATTCTATTTCATGTCGTGTTTAATGTGTAAGCCGAAATCACACGCTCACTGATTGGTTGAAGGATATAAACTGAAAAATATACCTTGGCTTCAGTGTCTTGCCTTCTGCTTTCACAGTATGAACTGTGATTAGTTCCAGTTCGAACATTTAATAATACCACTGTAAATTATCCATGGATAGCGGCATAGTAGAAAATCAGTGAGGTTAAGTTTTACTACTAAAGCATGAGTGGTTAGCCTCAGAAAGAGTTATACTTTTTAGGCATCCTCTTCACAATTGGAGGTTTCTACAAACAGTGTGGTCATCTCATCCTGCATTTGATGGTGACCAGTAAGATGCAGCAGGTCCGGGGGTGTGAGTACAAACACTCACCACCGAAGACATTGGCTAGTGCCAGTCGCGCTGTGTCGTGAATTGGCAGAAGTTAGAATTCATGTACTGACTGGCCATTGGATCGGGTTCCAATGACTTAATGGTCTACGAGCTAGTTCGCTAGTCCTGTAACCAGAAGGTCCTGGGTTCGAACCGTGTCGTGGTGGGTGCGTACTGCTGAATAGCCGGTCCCAAACTAGGAAGGGGGGTGGAAACAGCTGTTCAGTACTCCCAGTGGTGGGTTTTCCAATGGTTCTCTAATCAATGTCAGCTGGTCATGATGAAATCCTGTAACCAATCAATCAAACAAAATCCCTACAAACCAATACTCGAATACCAACGTAAATTAGTAAGGGATTTCACGATCACCATGACAAAAGACGGTAAATACATTTGCCCCACTATGAATCATTCTCAGTCACAATAATAATATCACGAAAAAAGCCTCAAATGCCGTAAGTCAGCATCTCGAAGAGCCTAAATAAATAGTCTAGATGTGGTTCACACACACACACAAAACAGTCATCAATTGAAGTCATGTTTCCGTCTGACCACTCCCAACTCCTTTATAGCCAAATCTTATAACAGTTAAGAGAAACACAAAATAATTGAGCCAGCAAAGAATATCCTTTCCGATAAATTCCCCTTCTCGCTCTACTATTATATATGCATATGTTCATATACATAGAATATTCTAGATTAGTAGACAATAACAATGTTAGCGGTTTTTTTTAAAAATAATATCGATTTGTAAAGTAAGATCATAATGGAATTACCACAGTTCATTAAAGATGCTTGAATAATAATAATAAAGATATAGTAGCAAATAGAATATCAACTAAAATTAGGAAAATTCTACAAAAATTCAGGATCGATCATTCAAACCTAGATTGCGAAGAGGGTAAGGATAATGTCTGAACCAACCAACTTCTTTTGGATGCACAAATTAGGCTTGTTAATATGGATCCCAACAGCCAGCCAGCCAGCCAGCCTCAGCAATATTTAGTAGTCGAACTGTTAAGGCGAAATTGAGATTTGTTGGTATGCGGTAAATGACCCTGAAAGCCGCCTGGTTAACATCAATCAATCAGTCTTGTGTTCTGTATCCACAAGATGAGTGAGATAGAATAGCGGTGGGAATAGATTTTGTTTGTTCTTTACTTAACCAACCAACCACTGTGCAGGGTGATGTTCGGAAATTCGACGAGAAACACGCCTAATTGTACGGTCTATGCAAGTAACTGGCTCACTCCACAGCAGGAGCAGTTCAATTGGCATATACACACACATGGGAGAGGCGAAATTAGGCAGTTTGTCTTTTACTCCTGAACGCAAAATAAGGGGGTGGATGGTTTTGAAGACACAGCGTAATTCGTCAGCAGCACTGAATGCTCTTCGTTTTACCGCCTCATTTCTAAGGCATAGCTGTGTTAGTATCTCGCTGATGTTGTCCCCAAAAAACTGACTGCATTTGTTAGAGTAAGGCCGTCCTTTGCCTCAGAACTGTTGGTATACCTTAAGCTGCCTTGATTTTAGATTCATATTCTTATCAATAAACTTTTCTGGATAACCATTTTCACTCAGCAACCAACCGTTTAATATTATTAAATTCCTCATCAAGACATTCATCTGAGCAGATTGCTCTCGCTCTGTGGTGGACCAAGCACTTTATCAACCGACCAAATCCCTGCAAAGAAACACTTGAATATTCCGTTTTTTGCTCTGTTTACTCCTACTTTTGTTGTTTGCTTCTTTTCGACTATAGATGAACAATGGGTCTATGCAAAATGGAAATTTGAAGGAAATTATTATGCAGGGAAAGCGTACTCCAGTAAAAATAGCTTACGGTAAGCATTTGAATGAAATTTGTGTGGCGCACCAATTGATGATCAAAATGACTTTAATGTCCATTTCCCTTGGGGTTAAAACTAGATTGTTAGTTATACAATCCCATGGAAAATTCCCATTGTAAGTGAGATATAGAAGAAAATCAAAACAAGGAGGGATTCAGTCAGCGAAGAGACTCTTTTCAACAACGAATTTATCATCAAGCTAGACAATCGTATACATAAATGGTTTTCTTTAAGAAGTTATATCCGATGAGGGAATTGAATCATAGGTGTGAATGCATAAAATAATAACAATAATAGTAGTAGTATGAAAAGCAATTAAAACTAAAATGTTTGTGATTATAATCACAGGTAAATATCATTAGCGAAGCAATTAATGTCACATATTTAGAATAATTCATAGGATGGATATAACTTGGTAGGTAGAGGGTGTGCAATTATAGGATTAATAGACACCACATCGAATAAAATAAAATAAAAAAGTTACGTAATATAGTGTGAAATTTGATAGCATAGAATTTAACGTTGTAAAATTAAAGAATTGATTTAGAATGACAAGTGGAACAAGTGAAATAATAATACCGAGGACAGTTCAAAGTGAGAATAGTAATAGTGACAATTGACATTGTAATAAAGGAAGAGTATGCAAATTGAATAGACAAAATGAAAAATTGGTAGAGCCAAAATTTGATTGGGGATTACCATACTTTAGCATATAGAGGGATTAAGACCATGAAAGTTGGAGCGGAGGGGTTGAACGAACTTTTTTTCTGTACACAGAGATGTGGCTTTTCTGTTTCGATAGGCAAAGATGGCTTCAGCAATACAACAGGTGAGTCGGGTAGGTAGGGATTTCGGTAAATTACTGTTTGCCTTGTAGATGACTTTAAAGGTGGAGGCTATAGAGATAGGGTGATCATTATCGACCAGGTGTTCAATTATCGCACTTCTTATTGCTCCACTTCCACCCCTTCGTAACTGCCATGCAGGGAATAGTGTCCTTGCAGCCTATTGGACAAAACTCGAGTTGAAAGACTGATATACGTAGCTCCACACTAGCAGGTGAATTGATAAACACACACACACACATAGAGTTGGTCAACAGCGGGATCTTATCCTTGTTCAGGTTATTGAACAACAGTAATGATCGACTGGTGAAGGCTATTTATTCTCAGAGATGCAGCAGGGAATGTTCTTTTCAGGGACTGTGTGATATCCTTCTTTTCATGATGATATCAGAAGCTAAGTTCCGTTTGAATTCCAAGCTCATGTACAGTATTTTCTTGGGTGCGGATGATAGGTCTTTTTTATAAAGTTAAATTCTATGCTATCACATTTCACACAATATTACGTAACGTTTTTATTTTATTCGATGTGTTGTCTACTAATCCTATAATTGCACACCCTTCACCTAACAAGTTCCATCCATCCTATGAATTATTCTATATATGTGACATTGATTGTTTTGCCACTTGACATTTAACTACGATTATAATCACAAACACTTTAGTTTTAATTGCATTTCTTACTACTACTATTGTAACAACAGAAGACAAGAGCCAGGCAACAGATCGTTTATTAAGGAAAATCAACACATATTTATAGATTTTAATGTACATTATTGTAGATTATTGTTAGTAGAAAATACAGTCTTTTGATTGGTTGTCTCTCACAGAAAGTTAACCTTGCATCTCTTTGTGGTTGTGTCAGATCATCCATATGCTAACTGTACCCGTCTACGCAAAGCCTTTGTTCTCATTTTCTCACCATCACCAATATTGGGGACATAAACATTGAAGTCAATTACTGTCGACCAACTTTGGCTAGCAGCCAGCTCTCACCACACTATTATTATTTTTATTATTTTATGCATCCACACGTATGATTCAATTCCTTCCCTCATCGGATGTAACTTCTGAATAGAAAACCATATATATACGGTTGTACAGAGTCTTTCCATGCTACTAAACCTATAATTGCTCATCCTTTTCAAGTTATACAATCATATTGTAGAGTCGGTAATATCTCTAGCCATCTAGGATCAATTTCCCTCTGAAAAGAGAAAAACGTGAATTTCTCTTCTATTTCTCTTTCCTTTTTTTAAATTTACTTATTCTTTTTACAGATGTCTCGTTCACTTTGAAGATCAAACAAAAGCAACTGTCAAAGAATCCGACATTATTCAGGTTTATTTGCTGCCTGTTGGGGCTGAAGTAAGAGACGGCGTCACAATATTTTTTGTGCTTTTTTTGTGTTGTTTTCATTAATATATGTGCTGCATATATATCAGATACACTCCAACTGACTTTTCGTATTTTTTTTGCCAGTATTCATAACTGGCAGCCAGGTGAGGGCTTATGGCTAGTTGTCATCTGAAGTGGTGACGACTAGTGGCGTCCGTCAAGGATGCCCATCATCCACATTCCTATTCAACTTCATCATAGACGTACTATAATGGACCTAACCTTAACACACTTCAGCGACTCAGGGATTGACTTGCTACCATCAGGGAATAATCTCGTCGACTTAGAATATGCGGACGATATAGTCCTTCTAGGCGCGGGGACGCTGATAAAATCCAGCAGAGTCTACTGAACACCTCGAACAGCAATCTTCGTATGTTTGGCATGCGATTCGCCCCTGTAAAATGTAAAGTGATGCTGCAGGATTGGACTACACTGACCCGTAGATTAGAAATAGGAAGTGAAGCGGTAGAGCAGGTTGACCGCTTCACTTACTTGGGAAATACCATCAGCCAGTGCCAACGGGTTGATCTCCGACGAAATCTCAGCTAAGTATGGATACAGAGGGCCAGTTTCGCATATGCCAGTTTACACCGTCTCTGGCGTGGACGTGATATCCGACTGGCTATTGACCAAAGGGCGTGTGTACTGCTCAGCCAGCAGTCCGCTCCGTCATCCTTTATGGCTGTGAGGCCTGGCCATTGAGAATAGAAGACATGAGAAGATTAGCTGTCTTCGATCATAGGTGTCTGCGTTCTATCTCCCGCGTGAAGTGGTATGATGAGGTGAGCAATATTGAGGTTAGGCTTCCAGTGAGTGCTAGGTAAGCAGGAGGGGAAATCAATAGACAATGAGGCTGTGAAATTACATCGATTGAGATGGTTAGGACATGTGTTACGTATGCCTAGTCATCGATCGCCTTCCTCGACAATGGGCAATGTTAACTGATATAGGGCCAGGCTGGAAAAGAGCTAGCGGCGGTCAAACCAAAACACAGCTTCACCAGTCAATGACATCCACAACAGTTAGTCTAAGCCACGTAGGTAGGTGTAGACTTCCTGACTGGTTGGGGTCCTCGGGACGGTAAAAACCAATGGTTGGAAACAATTGGTGATATGGCTTAAAATCGTTCTCAGTGGCGCAGATGCATCCACTCCTTGTGACTTATGATTTCCAATGAAACTGTTATGTTCTTCGTTATTACTATACCTTTGTCTCACACCTCTGTTTACTGACTATATTATGCATTTCTTCTACTTTCTTCTCTTCCTTTGTGTGCTACATGGAGTGTGGCGAGTTGAACTGGTGCACATCGGTGCAAAGTTCTATGTCGAAAACCGACTGACCGATTCATAGCTGCCTGCGTTCGTTATCTTACATTTATAAGGGACGAATCACATGCCGAATATATACTAAGACATCTGCGCTAGGTGTTAAGAATACTCTTCATAGTATCTATGTATTCTACCACATTTGTTGTTCCCATGTACCAAGTGATGCAGGTAGGCGATGAGTTTTCTTGGTTTGGTGGTTAATGGGTCTTGAGTGGTTGGAATTCCTTTTTAATTTGACCTCCGCTTTGTTAGTTCGGTCGATGACAACTTTGTATATAGAGGACTTAGATTGGGAGTAACTATCACTAGCCCTTTAGATCATCAGCGTGTGGCTACTTCGATGATAGTGGTAGTTTGATCAGCGTTTCAGACACGTTTTTCAGTTGTTAATCGGTGTAGTGGCTGCTTGACAGGTGGTATTAGTGATACTATTCTCTTCATTACCAGCAGGTTGCATTAGTAGTCGTCGGGGAGGGCTTTTGACTGCTGTCAGGTTGGTGGTGAGGTTGCGGTTTCCATTTTTAATAATAATAATAATAATTTGCTTTATTCCAGAAACAGTACTAGTTGTACAGTGTGGAATTTTCAGCACATATCTACAATATTTGCATCTAATTTTACAGACATTTAAAATAAGTATTAAACAAACAAAAAATAAATCTGAAGACACCAAGAGCCAAAAAACAGGATAAACACAAAATAATTATAAATGCGAAAAAGTACAAAAGTCTACCAAAGTCTAATGCAGTGTGTGTGGTGGTAGTGTGAGTAATCCTGAATAATACAAAATTTTTTTTTAAGGTGGTGACTATGCCGTTCACAACCAACGATTGTCAGTTTAATATTGTCGAAAAGTATAGAAAAATAAGGAAAACAGCCACAAAACTAATATTACATGATGGTTAATGACAGGACAATTTTGTAATGCTCATAGTGCTAATAGAGTCGGAACCAGTGGATACACAATAGAAGGAATGGAGTAAAGTACAAAAAAGTAAGCCAATGTTAATAATTTAGGAAGCTAAGTATGTTTAAGAAGGTGTTCACTATGGAATACAAAATAAGAGAGAAATAAAAGAGCCTAAAATTATATTATTAACAACAAAGCAAGTCATAGGTTTCACGCTTAACATTGTCTCTGTCACTTAGAACACGGGCCAAGTACGGTTGAGTATCGTTGAGTTCCTGTACTTGGTTGTACGAGCATAGATTATTTTATACTGATTTCTGGTTCTACTTGATGAGATACAAGGAGAGAGTTGGGAATAGAGGGGGTGTTGGGGGTCGGAGAGTATGCTTTCAGACCGTATTTCGCATGTATTCAGATGCCTTTCAACTAATGTAGTGACGAGCTGACTGAGTTGTACACTACTAGTCCTACTGACTACCTTCAACATCCTTCTCAGGATGGTATAGTGCTTTTTCAGTAGACCAAGAAAGACTCGCGGGGAGCAGTAAAGTAGAATAGGGTAAGATACAAGAGTTGACAAATTGTGAAAGTAGAGGTTGGGTGATTCCAGATTGTCTAAGTTTCTTAATGTAGTAGGTAAGACAGAACACTTTCTTAGAAATCATTTCACAAACACAAACACACACATGTGGTCTTCACGTAAGCACTGTTTGACTATATGCATAAGAGGATTATTATACTCGTGTTATGCACCACCACCACCACTACCACATAATGGAAGGATGAATATGATGAAGTTGCAATGAACTGAACTCTGAGGCACACAGTGTGTTTGCCAGCGCAGCAGCACGTGTTCCCTCCATTTCGTCGTCGTCTACATGGAATTGTCTTTTTTTGTAGTGTTCCCGTTTATTCTTTGGATAATTTGTATTCATTCATGCATGATTCATACCTGGCCCCATACAGCTGACTTACTTACTGACTGTGCATTTCACCTAGTTGTGAATCTGCTTGTGTATGCATGTCACGTTGTGTAGGTGGGTATTTTTCAAGCTTCCTTGCCTGTTTTTTTGTTGAATTCACAGTTGCAGATTATTGTTGAGAAATTGTAAGGGAGTCGTCTTTTTACAAGCCGGTCGGTCGGTCGGTCGGTTTTCGGCATAGAACTTTGCACATATGTGCGGCAGTTCGAGTCGCCACACTCCCTCCACTCCATGTAGCACACAAAGCAAGAGAAGAAAGTAGGAGAAATGCATAATAATATAGACAGTAAACAGAGGTGTGAGACAAAAGTATAGTAATAACAAAGAACAAAACAGCTTCATTGGAAATCATAAGTCACAAGGAGTGGATGCATCTGCGCACCAGCCATCATTGAGAACGATCACTTTGAGCCAACCATGTCACCAATTGTTTCCAACCATTGGTTTTTACCGTCCCGAGGACCCCAACCAGTCAGGAAGTCTACACCTACCTACGTGGCTTAGACTAACTGTTGTAGATTTCATTGACTGGTGAAGCCATGTTTTCGTTTTACCGCCGCCTCCCGAGCACCTCTTAGTCTACGCAGTATTATTGAGCCTAGGATTTTAGATACTGTATTAGTCAAGCTAATCCCTCTGTGATTATCACAAGAAGACTTGTCTCCCTTTTTGTATATCGGGATGATCAGTGACTTACACCAACCTGATGGGACTTCTTCTGATTCCCAGACGCTGCCTAGAACCTCGGTTAACGCAGACAGTAACTTTTCTCTACCGTACGTAAATACCTCTGGAGTCAATCCATCAGGTTCCGCTGCTTTGCCTTACTTCAGATTAGTGACAGCTTTAGTAACCTTAGTTAAGGAAGGAGGAGGACCTGTGTCTATATCCCATTCAGGGAGCTGTTGGATGTTCGGCAGGTTAAGTGTGGCTGTAGGCCAATTAAACTGCTCCTCATAGTGTTCTTTGCAGCGCTCCAGACGTCTATCCTGTGAGCTAATTATGGTGCCATTTTTCTCCGAGATTGTTTCGCTTGTCATTTGCCTTTTGCCACCTGTTTCCCTGATAAGCCTGAATAGTTGTCTGGTGTTGCCAATCGCCGATGCCTTTTCCATCTCTTTCGTTTTTGTTGCCTACCACTGTTCACGGTCGTTGCGAAGACTTTTTGTTAGTCTTCGTTTAAGTACCTTTCGCTCCTCATGATAATCTGAGCTCACTGGAATCAGTCTTCTAGCGTCAATCAGTTCGGATGAGGCGGAAGAGATCCAATGGCTTCTATTAACTTTAAGTTTTAGCTTATTGACAGCTTTCACGGCTGTGTCCATAGCTAACTGTCTGTTGTGTCAGGCTACCTCGGGGGAAGTCCTGCTGTCGACCTCAGAAACTCGTTTAGCTATTTCTTCCTTAAATAAGGACTCAGTGTCTCGATCTAGTTGGGGACGTAACTGTTTCGCTGCCGTCAATTTCTTATGTCCATTTAGTCGTAATCATAAACGTGCGCGAACCAGAGCGTGATCAGAGTCTATCAATGTGTTCCAGAAGGAGCAACAGGCTTCTACTGACCCTCGCCAGCGATACCCTATGGCTATGTGGTCTATCTGAGTCCACCGTTGATTTGGTGACGGAGGTCGCCAAGTTACACAATGTCTTTCTTTGTGCCTAAAGTTAGTGTGCTGGCTAAGAACAAATGATTATCTGAGCAAAACTGAAGAAGACGACCACCGTTGTCGGTTCGTCGGCAGGGAACTCCATACGTACCACCTGCATACTTCTCAGTCTGGCACAACTTCCTTACTTAGGCATTGAAGTCGCCTGCTAAAACCACTATGTCTGAACGTTTTCCTTTTTGCAGCAAATTAGACAGTTTCCGGTAGAAGTCATCTTTTAATTCATCCGAACTGCAGTCTGTTGTTGGGGCGTAAGTGAAGACTACGAAAAGGCAACGACGGGTAGCGCCGTCTTTCCTTCTCTTAACGGACCCGTTCAGGCGGACCGCACACATACGACTATCTACTGGGATCCAAAGTAGTTGCCACATTGACTTTGATATGTTTGATATATGTGGTCTGATCTGTTTTTGCCGCTTGTACTTGTTTTTGCTTACGAAGGGGGTTATTTTCACATGACAACTTTGTTTTAATCTTTCTCTTTTTTGTCCCTTTTCACTTTGTACACTAGGTTAGTGCTCAAATCAAGAATGATAATGAGTATTGTGGTAATTGTATTATCCAGGCTCACCTGAATGATTCCGACTTTCCGTATGAGATTTTTTGCCGTACTACAAATGAAGTTTATCGGTGAGATTATTTTGTTTGCCTTCCCCATTGATAGATAAATATCTTTCATGTTACAATTATTTACTTACTTTACTTTACTTCGGCTATCTCCTACGGGAGGATGAGCCGGCTTCATGAACATCTCGAATCATCGCTGTCCAGGCGCGGCGATCTGATGTAAGGTTTTGTGACAGGGTTATCCAATTCTTGTTCCACAGACGGAGTCCGTAGACGGCTTGTAGCCCCAGGCACTCCATATCAGCCTTGACTGTACCAAGCCATGTTTTCAGCTGTCCACCCCATCGCGACATCGCCAAGATGGTAATGGCGAGGGATTTAGAACTGATTTGACCAGATCGTCGTCTGGTCGGCGCAGAACATGGCCAAACCAACGAAGGCGACGTTGTTGGACCAGTACTGGAATTTAATTGATGTTGTAGCAACGACGACGCACTTCTTCGTTTGTAAGAGATTTCATGATGTTTCATGGGAATTTGGTACGAGTGATGTCCCCAGAATCGCTCGGCCTTCTGTTTGAGAGTGCAGCTCTAGCCTTTACACAACCAAGTGTGACCTACAAGGCAGTAGGAGTGGAGTAGGGAGTCCACTATCCATTGGCAGCCGGTGACCGGAGTTCGGTTCATACGCCTTTTTGAATGGGGCCAGACATCCAGGACATCCAACAAGCCCTTTGTCCATACGTCTTCCGGTGATCTCCAGTGAGCTTCATACGCCAGTCGTTGGAGGTTTGGAATCAGGGTTTAGCCATCTCCCCTAGACTGTCATCCAATGGATAGTCAACCCGGTGAAGAGCGCCGGGCATCCGCTTTCGCCCTCTCACTTTGGTGAAAAATAAAACACCTCCGCCACGTGAAGGCATTGAGTAGGACTTCCTCAAGAGAGGCTATGTAAGACGCCCGGTCATATGGGAGCATTTCAAGAGGTGTTCGGAGGGGTGGCCAACCCGCAGCGCAAGGCACCCACCCCTGACCATCCTGAGGCTTTGGAGGCTTACTATTATTTGACTCCAATAGTGTAATATATAATCAATACTTTACCTTGGATCAGATAAAGTACTGCCACTGGGTCGGTGTGTGTTAGAGTTTGTGTCTGGGGGGTGGGTGGGTGTATAGACACTTTTGTTTTGGTGCAATTGTGTATTGTGTCTGAGTTCCTAGGTGGGGTTCAAATTGTGAAGATTTCATTGACTGACTTTTGTAGACATCAATGCACTACTGATTGATTAACATGTGCGTGATGATATTTTTTACGATGACATGATATTATTGCATGTGATTGGGCGGGCGGGCATACTCGACCAATAAGTGTACAGGTGAAATAAATAAAATATTCTGCTGCTCTGTAGATTCTCTTGCTCCTGTCAAATTGTTAATTTTCACTTCGAAGTGTCGATTGACTGACCGACTGATTTGAACGTAGAACTACTTTGCACAGATGTGCAGTCGTTCGAGTTGCCACAGTCCATGTATCACACACAAAGCAAGACAAGAGATTAAGGAGAGATAATAAACAGAGGTGTGTTAGGGAAGAAGAATGGTAGGTAATATGAAAGAACAGTAGATTTTTATAGGATATTATGAATCACAAGGAGTAAATGCATCTGTGCCATTGGGAACGATTTTAAGCCATGCTAGCGATTGTCTCCAGCCATTGGTTTTTACCATCCCGAGGACCACAACCAGTCAGGAAGTCTACACCTTCCTACGTGGTTGGCTTAAACTAACTGTTGTGGATTTCACTGACTGGTGGTGAAGCCATGTTTTGGTTATACCACCAACCTGGCCGATCCTGTGTCAATCAGCTACAATTGTTGGTCGTGGAAGACGATGTCTAGGGATGCATGCGCGCAACACATGTCCTAACCACATCAATTGATGTAACTTCACAACGTCGTCGATTGATTTCCCCTCCTCACATAATAATCGATGGCTAACCTCAATATTGTTCAGCTTGCTCTCTGTGTTCAGGTGAACATAGAGAAAACAGAGGCGATGAAGATTCCTGGGCAACAGCGACAACAGACAACAATCAGCCAGCATAAATGGGAGGAACCTGAAAGAAACAACCTCCTTCACCTGCCAACCCACCTACCTGGGAAGCATCGTTTCAACTACAGGCCGAGGGAACTGACAAGGATATCAAAGCAAGGATCGGGAAAGTAAGACAAGCGTTCATTACACTCAAGTCTGTGTGGAGGTCAACAGCACTCAGCATCAAAAATAAGATCCGGATTTTCAACTCCAATGTGAAGTCAGTCAGTGTTACTCATTATACGGATCAGAGACTTGTCCAGCGCGTCATAAAGAGCATCTCAAACGAACTACAGACCTTCATTAACAGTTGTCTTTGCTCAGTACTACTCAAGATCAGATGGCCGGCTAGAAAAGATCAGCAACAGGGTGGGATCTCTGGCGATGATCGAACCAACACAGCAGGAAGCTATTGTGAAACAAATAGGCAGGAAGAAATGGAGATGGATTGACTGGCCATACTCTGATGAAACCAACAAGTGACATCACTAGGCAAGCCATTGCTTTAGTGGAACCCGGCCGAAAGGGAAGCGGCAAGTTGGTCGTCAGTGCGAGGGTGACTTCAAGGAGGAGGTCATGTGAAGAGGAGATGATGAAAGCATGTGGGCAGACTTGGAGCCAGGTGGAAACTTTGGCAGAGGACCGAACGCAACGGAGACGTGAGCGGCTGAAGCCCTATGTTCCTCTAGGAATTGAAGAAAATAATAATAATGTTATGCCCCTTAAAATGTGAGATAGAAAGCAGACACCTATGATCAAAGACAGAGCTAGGCAACCTCTTCATGTCTTCTACCTTCAATGGCCATGTCTCAGAGCCAGCCAGCCATAAAGGAGGGTGAAGCGGATTGCGGAGCGAAGTGTTAATTTGTAAAGATTTGATTGGTGTCTATTTCGACGACGGATTGAGATCGATCAGTTGGTTGAAAATGGTGAATGAACAGAAGAAGTTAGAATTCATGGACCATTGGATTCCTTGCCTAGTCAGTGACCGAATGGTCTGACCAACGAGCTGGCCTCGTAGTCTGAAGGTTGTGCATGCAGTCAGTCCTCGGTCGGTTTGTGGATGCCTACTGCTGAAGAATTGTCGTCCCCCTAGACACAGAACTGTCCTGAATGACATTATGAATTAGAATATGAATGTATATTTCTCTCGTGTTTAACCCCCACTTTGTTTTTATCTTTATACAATTTTGGCATGATTTTCAGCCGATGATGTAATCGTGAATTATTATCATTCTGATGTGTGTGTATATTATCATTAAACATTTTTTCACTCTAGCTTACGAAGACGTCAAGTGTCCATCAGTGAGACGGAGGTGAAAAACTTGAGATTTCAAAAGCTTCTACCCAGCAATCCTGTTGATCGACCGGTTTCACCGCCGCTTTGCGATTCTAAAGTTTGTGATGTGAATAATTCTGTGGTTAGGAAGTGTGCAAGTCCAGACGTGAGTGATTCCTCGTATTCTTGAGCATATTTTATGTGAAAGTTGTATTTCTCCTATCGCTTAATTGCTTTATTCTACATCAGATTTCATACTCTGACTGGGAAATGGTTTTATCTTCTTCGGGAAGATGTCACATCGTATTGACTTAAGCACTCGACTTCTAGCCAGCCACTAGATGCAGGTTTCAAAGTCTCTTCCCATGTGTAGATCGGGCTGGTCAACTGAACAGTATCATCGGTGTTATTTGTTGGCCCATAGTTTTGTACAGGGAGAATGTGTTCCGGGTAACTAACTTCGAAGATGCATCTATCTCTCCTGCATAATAAATTGTGTGTGTGCCTGTAGCTTTTGTTCTGTGTAGATTAGGGTTTCAGCTGAGTGAGGAGGAATGGAGTTGATGTCTTACTGAACAGGCACTTGCATATCGATGTAGTCAGTCAGTCTTCAATGTCTCCAATGTATTGTGAGAGGAGGACTTGTGATACTGACTGCCTGACTGCCCGAATGAATGTCTGTAGATGGAAAGTATCCTGAACCTGTTATCATCCAGCCAATGGTTTTCAGTCCGGAGAATGACTACATACACTCACCATGAAGCAAATGTCTCGAGGAGTTCCGCTATCCAGTTTTGGTGGTAACATAAAGTAGATGTATCTGGCATGAGGAAATTGGAACTCATGTTATTATTATGACTATTACTGTTCTCTGGGGATTGAAAGTGGAACGTAGGGTGTCAGCAACATATCCTTACTTTGTTCTATTTTCTGCTGGAATCTTTAGCTGGTAGACGATCGCGCCATGATATGTGTGTGATCTCTTCCATTTCACCCTCAATGTGACAACCCACTCGTCGCTTCTCATTGAGATTCCACTCGATCAGTGTGGTCTGGCGTGAGATGTCTGTCAACGGTCTCCTCAGCGTGTGTGGTTCTTGTCTAGTTTGTTCTCATAGTTTTTTGTAGCTAACTAACTCTTTCTGGCCAGCCATTTGATCTTCGATTTGGATCCAGAGAAGGCAGCTGTTGAGAGAAATTTGCCGCTGACTTTTGGAAGTGCTTTTCGTGACGAACGCGCAGTGCAAATTTCTCACTCATACAGAGAAAAAGTGACTGGCTTGACATTTGTGTTGAACAGAATCCGAATCTCCTTGTTTATGCTCAAAGTAGAAGATTTAGGTTGATGAAGGTGTGTATCTTGTCTTTCCGATTCTGGCTGGCTGTCTGTCTGTCTCTCTGGCTTTGAAATCTTCATCCGTGCCACCGTGTCTGTAGTTGAAACAATGCTTCCTAGCTAGCTAGATAAGTGAAGGCAGGAAGTGACCTCTTTCGAATTTCTCCCATTGTTGGTGGTGGTGAATGCCGCTGCTGGTTGTTGTCACTGTTGGCTGAATATCTTCATCATCTCCATCTTCTCTCTATCTATGTTCACCTGGAGTTTTGTCTTCGCTGTCAGCTTCTTCTGCGAGTTCGTTGGTTTCCGCCTGCCTGTGAGTCTTCCAGGTTTTGTGGCACTAAACTGGACAGTCTTCCCAGTCGGCTTCGTACATTGTACGAACACTCCATGTCCTTGTTCCTTGTTGCTTTCACTGAAAGAAGAAGACAGATTAGCTGACTGACTGGCTGGCTTCCCGAAGGCTTTCAGCAAACCCGCTGTGTCATAATTGTGCCTCCGATTTCACCAAAGAATAAGTTCAGATAAAGCAATAAGGAGACGTAATTTGCCTGTCTGAATCGTGTAATGTTGTATTTGAGCAACATATTTCGAACAATCTGATCACACACCGACTTGTCACAGGAATGTCATACACATGTGGAAATAATAAAGAGTTAAGAGGTGAGAAAGTAGACAAGTTAGGTCAAGTTAAAGGGAGGACATATTGAAGGTTAAAATAACAATGAAGATGAATGACTAAGCCAAATAACAGAGGTAATAGTACATCTGCCCTGGATAGTATCAAAACAGAATTTACCAAGGAAGTTTTAATGTGATGACGTATTGCTGCTCTGAACGCATGAAGGTGATTTAAACTTTAGGATACACCCTCCCCCGAATACGCTTTTCTCGGTAGATAGGTTTAAAAGATGTGTTAACGTCAATTTTATGTCCTGTCTCCTCTGTAATATGTTTCGCAACAGAGGAGCCAGCTAGGTCTTCGTCTGTTCTCACCGTTAATGGGTTCTGAAGATTCCATTTGTTTCTGGAGCCATTTAGGAATACGCTGTGAAGCCAGCCAGCCCCTACTTGCAGAAATCGATGAGTCCTCCCTATGTATGTTTGTGTGTGCGTGTGTGGCCACACTTACATTCAAATTGGTAAATACAGTGTGATGTGACATCATTTTTCGCATGTTCAAAGGGCTTAGATGGATGGATATATATTGGCTACACATTCTCAATTATTACGATATTAGCTGCATAAAAAGTCTTTTAAACTACAACGGCGTTCAGTCTTTGTCTATTTATCTTTTTTTACTTCGGCGATCTCCTACGAGAGGATGAGCCGGCTTCATGAGCATCTCGAATCATCGCTACCCATGCGCGGCGATCTGATGAAGAGAGTTCATGAAGTTTCATGGGAATTTGGTACGAGTGATGTCCCCAGAATCGCTCGGCCTTCTGTTTGAGAGTGCAGCTCTAGCCTTTACACAACCAAGTGTGACCTACAAGGCAGTAGGAGTGGAGTAGGGAGTCCACTATCCATTGGCAGCCGGTGACCGGAGTTCGGTTCATACGCCTTTTTGAATGGGGCCAGACATCCAGGACATGCAACAAGCCTTATTTCCATACGTGTGCCGGTGAGCTTCAGTGAGCTTCATACGCCAGTCGTTGGAGGTTTGGAATCAGGGTTTAGCCATCTCCCCTAGACTGTCATCCAATGGATAGTCAACCCGGTGAAGAGCGCCGGGCATCCGCTTTCGCCCTCTCACTTTGGTGAAAAATAAAACACCTCCGCCACGTGAAGGCATTGAGTAGGACTTCCTCAAGAGAGGCTATGTAAGACGCCCGGTCATATGGGAGCATTTCAAGAGGTGTTCGGAGGGGTGGCCAACCCGCAGCGCAAGGCACCCACCCCTGACCATCCTGAGGCTTTGGAGGTTGTCTGTCAATCTTTGTGTACTTAGTGGAGTTTGTCAACTTGAACCGCCCCTCCACTTCTGTGCAAAGTTTTGTGTTGTGTGAAACTCAAACTCATTGACTGACCGACTGGCAATCAGCTCTTTCGTATAAGAAGTTTCCATCATGTAGGCAACTGCTGCGCACTACACTCTACTTAGATGATATTCTAATCTTTTTCATAATGGTTAAGATTTTATTTTGATAAACTGTCACACAGTGTTGTATAGTTATATTAACTGATTGGATAACAGAACAGATCTCTCTCTCTAGCTTCTTGACACACACATATAAACTCACAAGTAGAAGGAATAAAATTCACATTTGAATCAGAAAATGAACAAGGAGAATTAACCATGTTACATTGTAAGATAAAACGAATAGAAGAAGGCAAACTACTGCACACTAGTGTTTATAGAAAACCAACGCATTCTACTAATAGATATTTAGACTTTAATTCATCACCTCATCCGTTAACTGTTAAGGCAGGCTTAGTGAATTGTCTGACAAACTGAGCCATAGCACTAAGTAGCACAAAAAGGGACCTAAATAACGAAATAAAACAGATAGAAGAAGCGTTGGTGTTGAATAACTATCCTATAAAATTCATTAAGAAGATCAGTAAAGACCAGAAACAAAATAAAAATAATTGTGTAACTAGTAGTAATAACATAAATAAGAGAGAATATAAGTCTTCTACTGTTATACCGTATAAGGAGGGGACATCTGAGGCCCTACGTGGGATTCTCAATAAAGCAGGAATTAGGGTGGGATTTAAACCCACAAACTCACTCAGAGACAAACTTTGTAGGTTGAAGGACCCGTTGGACCCGATTAAACGAAATAATATAAATTAAGAAATACCCTGTAATGACTGTACGGTCAACTATATAGGTCAGAACATAAGAATTTAGCTAAGGGAAAAATGATTGACCCTGAAAAGATGAGCAATTTAGAAAAAAGATCAGCTATTGCACTTCACGCATCAACAAACAACCACACAATAGGGTGGGTGGGAGAGGGTTAAAATTCTAAAAATTAATATAGGTAGGTGGAGAGAGAGGTTGATTATGGAATCCTTACTCATCGAGTCTACACCCAACACATGCAACAGAAGTGACTCAATGCAAATACCAGAAATGTGAATGGAAGATATTCTTACCGCCGGTCAAATCAGAAGAGGATAATAAATAATCTTAAATTGTATTCTATTTCCTTTCAAGCACATCATAACATTCTAACAATTAACTTATTATGACTATAAAACAACACTCGTCTTATTTCCCATCTAATTGCAATGGATTAATAACACTCGTACTATTATTATTTCTGAATGTACATTATCTCATATTGAATTTTATTCCAATATCTAATCATCAATTCCACACATGTATATAAATGAAGGAAAAAAGTTGTGTGAGTGAGTGACTTGATATGATTATGAGTGGCAATAGTTTGTGCTCGAAACGTGGTCATCAGTTAATATTACTGTGTAACACTGTGTGACAGTTTATCAAAATAAAATCTTAACCATTATGGAGTTATACTCTACTCTACCACAGTGCCCAAGTTTTATACTTATATGTAATCATTTTATTTTCCTTATTTCCATGTGAATTCAGTTGTAAACTGTATTGTATGTGTTTTTGTGCTTTCCTTTTTGATTGTGATTCCTTTCACTCTCTCGTCTTATAGGTGAGTCTAGTCAACATAATCAGTGAGAAACGCAAGTTCAAACCGAAAACTTACAGATCAAGCTGGATTACACCAAAACGTTTTGCCACACCTGTGGAGGGAGATGATGTGAACCGCAGTGATGATGATGATGCTAGACAGGCGAATAGGTTACCCAGTAAGACTGTAAGTTCTGGTTTGTTTCCCTTTTTTACCGCCGCTCTACATATCACAAAGTTTTTGATGTTGTTGTGTTCTCTGAGCTGGATAGTTAATTTGTAAAGCTTTCATCACCCTACTGGGTGACATCTTCAGCGCATACTTCAATTTGATGAAGTGAGCTTTCAGATTTCTCCACAAGTTTATTAATCATTTAAACCTACAAACTCACTCAGGGGCAAGCTCTGTAGGTTAAAGGACCCAGTTCACCCAATTAGACAAAATGATATAATTTACAAAATACCCTGCAATAACTGAGCACGGTCAACTTCATGGGTCAAACTAGAAGATCGGGGGTAAGCAGATTGTCGAAATATAAGAATTTAGCTAAGGTAAGAATGGTTGACCCCACCCGAGAAGATAAGTAATTTAGAAACATGCACTCAGCACTACATTGCACTGCATGCATTAACACACAACCACACAATAGGGTGGGATAGGGTTAAAATTCTAAAAGGTAATATAGGTAGGTGGAGAGAGAGATTGATTACTGAATCCTGACTGGTTCATCGAGTCTACCGACACCGGACACATGCAATAGGAATGATTCACCCCTCACTCATACCCGAAATACGGAAAATACCACTACTACCAATCATCAAATCAAGCGAAAATCAAGTGTGAAAAATAATGGAACTATATAAATGAATTTAGGAAGTCGTGTGATTACCTTGATATGATTATGAGCAGTAATAAATTGTGCTCGAAACGTGGTAATCAGTAAACATTACTGTTGAACAACACTGTGAGACTTAATCAAAACAAAATTTACCCATAATGGAATATGAAGAGTAGTCTGTTTTGACAAGTGTGTTGCAGAATGGTGGTCAATTAGAATAGCACTTTTCCTTATGAAACTATTATGTATGGCCTGTCTGTACTTGTCCCCGGGGTGGTAGTGTTCTCCCAGTGGTTTTTTGTGGAAAAACAGGACTACAAGTAGCTGTAGACCAGCTAGCTACCTAGGTGTATAGGAGAAGCGGGTGGATCGATATTTAGACATATATAGATGTACATTAAAGTGATTAAATATATACTGGTAGTTTTGTGGTGAGAGCTGTCTGAGCTAGCCGAAATTGGTGGACAGTACTTTACGTCAATGTTGTTGATGTCCCAAATATTGGTCATGAGAAAAGAAGGAGAACAAGAACAAAGACTGACTGGCTCAACCAACAACCAATCACAGCACACTTTGTTTGCGTAGGCGGATACAATTAGCCGATAGACAGATAGATGATCTGACCTTTAAGTGAGAAACAACCACCAATCAGAAGACTGCGTTTGTCTGCTAACAATAATCTATAATGATAATGTACATGAAAATCGATAAATATGTGTGATGATTTCCTAAATAAACGATCTGTTGCCTTGCATTTGTCTTCTATCGTAACATTTGTCTTTGGAGTTTTCTTAAAAGCTTTTTCATCTGGGAACTCTTAGAAAATTGAGAGTTCTTCTTCGTGAGCAATCATCGTTACACACATTTAGTATCTAATGTATCAGAGATATGGAGCTAAAAAACATTGTTCATTTGGCTATTCCATAAAGGCTTTGTCTACAAATCGACTTTCATCATCATCTCTTCTGGACGACGATTCTAGAACGTGAAATGGAATCTAACTGATTCTCTCTTTGTAGTATGAATTTAAGTGAAGAATTAAAAACGATCGACTAATGCTTGCCTAAAAGCTGAACTTGAATTGTGAAGGGTTCACGGCAAATCATCGAGAGTGTCGTCACTAGGGGAAGAAATGTTTATGAACGAATATTTTTTGTTGTTGTTTTGAACAACTTCTTCTTCTCCAGGCTCTCTACAATTAGTTATATAAGTCGATAAATTATTGGAATACAAAAATCTCTGACTACGGGGAACTCAAAATTGTAACACAGAAACTCTATTGTTTAATTACAAGTATAGGAGACAGAGTGTAATAGGCCGTTAGTTGAGATTGTCAGTTGAATGCATGTAAGGTTTTAAATGGCAGTAAAATACAGGTGTTTCCCGATACGAATTTAAAACAAATAATAAAGGTTAATAAAGCAGGATGATTTAATGATGCATTCATCAGATTTCGGTAGAACTCGTCAGCTGAATACTCTACATACACGGATATATACTTTTGAACTTACATTGGAAGATATAAGACTGATAAGTGAGCAAATAAACTACATTGAATTAGTCATGCAGAAAGACAGGTGCGGATGTTTTCCAGGTCATGTTCAAATAGATAAGGGGAGAGGAGGGAGTATGAGAGATCAAAATTAGGATACAATGCAATACGCTTCAATTACACATCACTTAGATAAACAATTAGTCATTAGAGAATATAACGAGAATCGCAGACAGAGTAATATCAATAATAATAGTTATAATAACTATTATAATAATAATAGCGTTGAAGTGAGTTAAGATAATCCTACTGATTTGGGGATAGTTTTAAATGAATCAATAATAATAATAATGAGAATAATAAAAATAATAATAAGAGGTAGAATTATAAGTAAAACGTATGACCATGGTAGATTGAGAGTCACGACCATCTCCTTTTGTACACCTGGAGACCTGGTTTATAAACTCGAATTGCACGTAATCTACGTAATCTACTTTTCTGTTATGCTCTTTCTAGCTAAACCTTGTTTCTATACACACACATAAATACGCAACTCTGTTTTTTGTTTCCAAGTCTAATTGTCTAATTATTCTATAAATAGTCAGTATGTCTGTAACTCTTAATTAGTTCAATCACTTCGGACTAATGTTACTTTTACACTTTCTACCAACCAATTACTCCTTGTGATCGTGGAAAAGTATGTTCAAATCTTCACAATCTAATTCATACATTCTTTTTTTATCGTTCAGGTTGTAACCAGTTGAGAAGAATCCTCGAAATAATAATAATAATAAAAGAAATGAGCTCTTATTATCCTTTGGTACAATTGTTTTTGTTCTTGCTTTGTTCAAGTTGATTTTGATTTCGGTCCTGTTCGAATTAGCCTCTTTTGTCTGAATATACATCATATACATATATAAATATAATTTAATAATTCCTATTGTAGCATTAAGAACACAAGGTATATTCAGCGAAGAGACTCCTTTCAACAACGAATTTATTATCAAGCTGTACAATCATATATATATGGTTTTTAAGAAGTTATATCCGGTGAGGGAATTGAAACATGGGTGTGAATGCATAAAATAATAATAATAGTAATAATAATAATATGAAATGCAATTAAAACTAAAATGTTTGTGAGTATAATCGTAGTTAAATGTCAAGTGGCAAAGCAAATTAATGTCGGTGGCACAGTGGTTAGGACTCTCGCCGACCATGAACATGGTCCGGGGTTCGATCCCCTGCCGACGCACACCCGATATCTATGGTCGGCCTGCGAAATTCGGGCTACCGATATCCATGCTGAAAATGCCATACTTGTACTGAAAATACGGTGTGGCATCAAGCTGTAATCAAAAATATAAAAATATATAGAATAATACATAAGGTGCATAGATTTTGGAAGGGGGTACATAATTATAAGATTAGTAGACGAATATAAAATGTTACATAACATGGTGTGAAATTTGATAAGACAGAATTCAATATTGTAAAAATAAAAATATAAAAATTAATACTTTTGTGTTTAAATTGTCAAGTGGGTCAAGTGGAAAAGATTCAGAGTGAGAATAGTAATAATAACAATGATAGTAATAACAATCGTAGTAATAAGGGAAAAGTACATAAAATAACTAAATAAACAAAATAAATAAATGTCTATCCCTCTACGGCCAAGGCGGAAGTAGGGATTGTACATACTTCTTTTGTACACAAAGGTCTGGCTGGCTGGCTTAAAGTCATGAATTGGCAAGGCCTCAGCTGTCTTTAGAAGTCTGTAACGAAGAAAACGCGGCCAGCATGTTAGCATGGATTCTATATATGATCTTAAAATCATGATCAGGGTTGGTGTGGAGTGACAGAAGTCGCTCAGGTGTTCCAAAATAGAGCTTCTCACACACTTTCTCCCTTATATAATTTCTTAAAAACCATATACACATATATATATATATATACGACTGTACAGCTTGATAATAAATTCGTTGAAAAGAGCCTCTTCGCTGAATATTGTGTTCATATATAAATATATTGATAACTTTTACACACCGATTTGTTTTTTTTTATTAAGGTGGTCCGGTCAACTTCTGCACGTAAAGAGTTCAGAAAGCAGTTGCAACATCACAATCACCATCAACCATCATCTTCCCTATTGCGTAACAGTCGTTCCCGGAGTAGTAGTACTGCATCTGTCGAATCAAAAGTGCCTAATAATAATAATTCGGCTAAGAAGCAGCGTTTATCCGATTTATTCTCCGATGATGATCTTGAAGAAGAGGATCTAACTCAACCGATGTTCAAGGAAACTCCTGTTGCAAAAATGAATAATCCTTAACCCTGAAAAATAGTTAATTTTATTATTTTTTTTCTATTTTTGTATTTCTGGCAAGAAAGAGACTTATGGGTGTAACTAGATTCACTCTGCATTCATTGCTGTTCATATACGTCTTATTATATTTAAGTGTAGATGTTTGTTTTTGTGACCATGTATATCGCTTTCCTTGTTGTATTGGATTGTTTCCGTACAGTTCTACTTCTGTGCTGTGATAACCCTCGCCCCCCCGCCCCCGTGAAGCGGGGAGGCTACGTATAATAAACCTTGTTGTGACCTTCTTTTCAATGTCTCCATATATAACAAATTTTTGTGTTCATCAGGGAGGGATAGAGCAGGGTTTTTCCTTACATGGGTTCCGTTTAGAGACATCCTCTACACCAATCCAAGTCCCATTATCCTCATTTCTATTCAACTTCATCATAGTAGATGTACTAATGGACTTAACCCTAAGTGACTTCAGAGACTCAGGGATTGACTTGTTACCATGGAAGGGAATAATCTCGTTGACTTAGAATATGCAGATATGATATAGTCCTTCTAGGCGCGGGGACGCTGAAAAAATCCAGCAGAGTCTACTGAACACCTTGAGCAACAGTCTTCGTATGTTTGGCATGCGATTCGCTCCTGCTGTCAAATGCAAGATGATGTTACAGGATTGGACTACACCGACTCGTAGATTAGAAATAGGAAGTGAAGTGGTAGAGCACGTTGACCACTTCACTTACTTGGGAAGTACCATCAGCCAGTGCCAACGGGTTGATCTCTGACGAAATCTCGGCTGAGTACGGATACAGAGGGCTAGTTTCGCATACGCCCGCCAGTTTACGCCATCTCTGGCTTAGTAGACGTGATATCCAGCTGGCTGTCGACCAAAGGGCGTGTGTACTGCTCAACAGTCCGCTCCGTCCTCCTTTATGGTTAGCTGTGATACCTGGCTATTGAGAGCAGAAGACATGAGAAGATTAGCTGTCTTCGATCGTAGGTGTCTGCGTTCTACCTCCCGCGTGAAGTGGTATAATAAGGTGAGCAATATTGAGGTTAGGCTTCCAGTGAGTGCTAGGTAAGGAGAGGAAATCAATCGACAATGAGGCTGTGAAATTACACCGATTGAGATGGTTAGGACATGTGTTACGAATGAATGCCTAGTCATCGCCTTCCTCGACAATGGGCAATGTTAGCTGACATAGGATTGGTTAGGCTGGAAAAGAGCTAGCCAGTGGTGGTCAAACCAAACCCGGCCGATAGCTGCTACCTTGACGTGGTGGTCGGGCTTGCATATCGCAATGACCCAACGAGCTACACTGGCTGGAACTTATGTTCCTGTAGGTCCTACCATGCCAGAAAGGTTGTTTGGATAGCGGTTAGACAAAAAGCAGCTACCCAATCCTGCACTATGATTCAAACAAATCCACAAAATATCATGCCGGATCGGTCGGGGCCCGGATTAACAACGACCGCGCTTTCTGCTGCCGTGTCACAAGGAAAAAGTGATAAATATGCTACTGAGACACACCAAACAAGAAAAAAAACAGGCCGCGTGTGACCGGCCTGGCTCAAGCAGTTGTCCCCTGGGCTCTGCGGTCACGCAACACCAACCTCTTCTCTATTTCAGGTACCCGAAGACCCAACCAACTTCCACGGTGTGGGCAGCCGGGAAGTAACAACCGCCCTCACACTTCTAAAAGCACACGAATCCTACGTGAGCATCACTCTCCACACTTGATGTTTAATGTGTAGCTGATTCGTCGGTTGGTTGATTACTGAAGCAGCATTCCTTCCTACTTCTCTGAGATGCTCGCCTGTATTTCAGCTAAACAAAAGTGGTTACATTCTGCTGGTGGATGCTTGTCGGTGATGGACAGAGTCGTACAATGTAATGTAATGTGTGCTGTGTCGAACTAGGAAGCTACGAGCAGACGAAAATGCCTGTTGCACAATACCACAACAACTGCACCTTTCAACACCAAACAGTCTCTGTCACTTTTATGAGAAACATGATTACTTACCATGGTATATCTGAAATCCCGAAGATGATGGATGATAAGACCAACTAGAAGACTCAGTAAGATTCGACTAGAATAGAATTCCACACTTAATGTGCCGAACATCCAACACCTCCCTGAATGGGATATAGACACAGGTCCTCCTCCTTCCTTAACTGAGGTTACTAAAACTGTCACTAATCTGATGCAAGGCAAAGCAGCGGGACCTGATGGATTAACTCCAGAGGTATTTAAGTACAGTGGAGGCAGTTTACCGTCTGCATTAACTGAGGTCCTAGGCAGCGTCTAGGAATCAGAGGAAGTCCCATCAGGTTGGTATAAGTCACTGATGATCCCGATATGCAAGAAGGGAGACAAGTCTTCTTGTGATAACCACAGAGGGATTAGCTTGACTAATATAGTATCTAAAATCCTAGACTCACTAATACTGCGTAGACTAAGTGGTGCTTGGGAGGCACAAACACGAGAAAACCAGGCAAGTTTTAGGTCAGGAAGAGGGTGTATTGATCATGTCTTCACCCTTCGACAGATTCTAGAACATAGGCATTCCTACCGGCGTCCAACAATCATTATATTTCTTGACGACCTAAAGGCGGCATTCGATTCTGTCGACCGAAAGGTTCTCTGACAATGCTTGGCTGTAAAGGTAATACCGAGAAAATACATTGCACTGATTAAGGCCCTCTACTCGTACTCATGCAGCCAGGCGAGGGCTTATGGCGAGTTTTCATCTGAAGTGGTGACGACTAGTGACGTCCGTCAAGGATGCCCATTATCCCCATTCCTATTCAACTTCATCATAGACGTACTAATGGACTTAACCGTAACACACTTCAGCGACTCAGGGATTGACTTGTTACCGTCAGGGAATAATCTCGTCGACTTAGAATATGCGGACGATATAGTCCTTCTAGGCGAGGACGCTGAAAAAATCCAGCAGAGTCTACTGAACACCTTGAGCAACAATCTTCGTATGTTTGGCATGCGATTCGCCCCTGTAAAATGTAAGATGATGCTGTAGGATTGGACTTCACCGATCCCTAGATTAGAAATAGGAAGTGAAGTGGTAGAGCACGTTGACCACTTCACTTACTTGGGAAGTACCATCAGCCAGTGCCAACGGGTTGATCTCTGACGAAATCTCGGCTGAGTACGGATACAGAGGGCTAGTTTCGCATACGCCCGCCAGTTTACGCCATCTCTGGCTTAGTAGACGTGATATCCAGCTGGCTGTCGACCAAAGGGCGTGTGTACTGCTCAACAGTCCGCTCCGTCCTCCTTTATGGTTAGCTGTGATACCTGGCTATTGAGAGCAGAAGACATGAGAAGATTAGCTGTCTTCGATCGTAGGTGTCTGCGTTCTACCTCCCGCGTGAAGTGGTATAATAAGGTGAGCAATATTGAGGTAAGGCGTCGACTGAGTGTTTGGTAAGGCGGGGAAATCAATAGACGAGACTGTGAATTTACATCGACTGAGATGGTTAGGAAATGTGTTACGTATGCCTAGTCATCGCCTTCCTCGACAATGGGCAATGTTAGCTGATATAGGGCCAGACTGGAAAAGAGCTAGCGGCGGTCAAACGAAAACATAGCTTCACCAGTCAATGAAATCCACAACAGTTAGTCTAAGTCACGTACGGAGATTTAGACTTCCTGACTGGTTGGGGTCCTCAGGACGGTAAAAACCAATGGTTGGAAACAATTGGTTACATTGTAGTGGACCTAGCAGCTAGGTAAGTATATACACACAATTAAAAGGACAGAACAGTTACTAACAAATACGTATATATAAGATATTCAGTTCACTTAAGTTAATATACACAAAAAGGACTGAGGTTATTTGAAGAAAAACTCTAGTAGTCACAAAATACACAAATTATAGACGTACGAAATTATAGGAATGTAATTGTCCTTTTCTTGATTATACAAATCCTCCACTACACCTTAGAGCTGTTAACCGTTGGAAGTTTCCGCGTAGAGTAAAGCAGAATGGAGCAAAGCTCTTGATGGGGATGTGCCAACCAGTGCGAGACAGAGTTGGTCGGCAGATGTGCTGAGCGAGCAGCCGGAGAGAGAGCAACCTATTCCTTCCTTGCGCGCGGTTCAAGGTTGAGTTCTTTTCAATCTCACCTAACAACCACGATTTTCATTGGATTCCTTGTTTTTCGGTGAACATATAATTTGATATGTTTTTAGGCCGCCACAACATGGCTCAAAATAGTTCTCAGTGGCGCAGATGCATCCACTCCTTGTGACTTATGATTTCCAATGAAACTGTTTTGTTCTTCGTTATTACTATTCCTTTGTTGATATAAGTATTTATACTGTGGTAGAGTATAATTCCATAATGGATAAGATTTTATTTTGATGAACTGTCACACAGTGTTGTACAGTTATATTAACTGATGACGTTTCGAGCACAAACTAATGCCACTCATAATCATATCAAGTTACTCACACAACTTCTTTCCTTCATTTATATACATGTGTGGAATCGACTAGATATTGGAATAAAATTCAATATGAGATAATGTACATTCAGAAATAATAATAGTACGAGTGTTATTAATCCATTACAGTTAAATGGGAAATACGACGAGTGTTTTTTTTTAGTCATAATAAGTTGATTGTTAAAATGTGTTGATGTGTTTGAATGGAAATAGAATTTTAAGATTATTTATCATCTTCTTCTGATTTGACTGGTGGCAATAATACGAGTGTTATTAATCCATTGCAATTAGATGGGAATGACGACGAGTGTTTTTTTATAGTCATAATAAGTTAATTGTTAGAATGTTATGATGTGCTTGAATGGAAATAGAATTTTAAGACTATTTATCATCTTCTTCTGATTTGACTGGCGGTAATAATATCTTCCATATTTCTGGTATTTGCATTGAGTCACTTCTGTTGCACATCAACACATTCTAACAATCAACTTATTATGACTATAAAAAAACACTCGTCGTATTTCCCATCTAATTGCAATGGATTAATAACACTCGTACTATTATTATTTCTGAATGTACATTATCTCATATTGAATTTTATTCCAATATCTAGTCGATTCCACACATGTATATAAATGAAGGAAAGAAGTTGT